ATTCAGAACTGTACGCCCCCCCCTCTGCTCAGGTCTGGTAGGCGAATATTTCTGGATAGCGCCTCTGGTTGAAGAGCAATCTGGAAATATTCTTTTTTATTTAATTTTTTTATTTATTTACTTTTTTTTTACTCTATAGTAATCATAATTAAAAAAAAAAGTAGCCCTACATGAGATATGGTTACAAATAAAACATGATCAGTATTGCAAATGCACATAAATAAATGATAGTGGCTTGCATGTAATTTTTTTCTTTTAGCTATACTTTTTAATTTTTTTGACCTACCTGACAAATATTTCTGGGTGCACCCTCTAGATCAAGTGAAGACAGCTCATGATCGCACTTGAAAGTTGGACTACAGACATATCAGCATAAGTAATTGGTCATAATTATTCTCCTATCCTGTGTGGCACTTGCATTCTCCACATGAATAATGCCTGTTGCAGACAAAGTTGCCAGTATTGTCATTCTTTCCAAGAAATAAACCTGTATTGTGTGCCAATTTGACTTTTTCTTATTATTTTTACCAGATGCCCCAAAAAAAACTAAAAAAAAATTGCCATTTTCCCCCTCTTCTTTGGTACATCACAACTCCCATAGTTTTTCCTGAAACTATACACAAAAATATCATGTGTTAGATCTATCCTCGCCTAAGGTTGTGTAAATAGCTGATTTTTTAATTTGATTTTTTTTTGGGGGGGGTGACTGGTTGAGATAGAGTACTATTTTTGTTTTTGTTTTTTTTCAGGATTAAAAAATTAATATTTTTTATTAAGGTCAAAATTTAAAAATCAACCATTTACACGGCCTCAGGGCTCCGAGACTAGCGAAAGCAACTGCATTTTAATCGCATGAAAGTTATGAGCATAGTGATGTACCGAAGGTATTGTAAACAGTGAACGGAGATATTGCGTATTATATTTTGGCAGCTTGCCAAAGTTCGAAAGTTTGTCAATCAAAATTACCATTTTCAATAGGGGCGCTTTCCTATAAAGGTATGTAATTTATATTTATATATATATATCTATATGTATTTACAAATATATACATTTATATATATATATTTATATATAAAAGATATTTCTGTCTGAAACATTTAAGAAATGCATTGACCCATAGAAACATGTAGTCTAAACCAGATGAAACTTTTTTTTTTTTTTTTTTTTTTTTTTTTACTTGGATTTTGAAGAAATGGGGAACTGTGGATGGCAACATTATTACAAAATCATCCTAGAATTCGAGAACTTACGTCGTTGAATTTTTTTACTAAAGAGTGCATAAAATCATGCAGACACCTAGGTGTGGTGGGATTTGCGAATTTATGGTACCAACATTACCTATGGTAATGTCTAAACATAATAGTTTTTATCAGGAACGCACAAAACAGAAGTGATAGCTTTATCAACTCTAGAGGAAGACTGTGCACACTAATGAGCTCAAAATTCCACATAGTTTTTATTTCAGAGCTGATATCACTGAGTATTATCAGCTTCAAAATGAAATAATCAGGATCTTGCTTATACATCCGTAGTTCAAAAATCCGACGTTAAGGTAACCTTCAAATTGAATTGGCCTTCACAACGGTAACGACCAATTTCAAATCAAATCAAATTTACCCATGCTGTGGTGTACCGACCGTTGAGTGAAGGCTAATCGTAATATTTTCAATCCTTACTTATACAGCTATTTTCAAACATTAATGCTTCGTACTCAGGATACATACAGATCACTGTAATCTACAGCATATTACCAGGGAGTCTTGATAGAAGCATATATCATGTGTAAAAGGACACAAACTCACAATAAAAAAATAATATATTTCAAAAAATATTCTGTCATAAATCACTGGGATATAATTTTTTCTTGATAATGTTATGAAAGTGTTCCTTGAACATTCATGAACTCATGTCTATGCACAATGTCATAATCAAATGCTATATGCATGATTGCAACAAGCATAGGTCCACATAGGTGTACCTGGGTGCTCATTAGCGACGTACAGTTGCAAGATTATATTTTAGTACACTTTCTGGGTCCCACTTTTCTGCATCATCTAGTAGCAGTTAATCAAATTAATGAAGTGTTTTTTTTATCTTTATACCTGAATCAAACACTTATTGAATAAACAGAAACCATGCTACATTAGATTCTTCAATATAGAGCATGAACAAAATCACAGTTAGGCTACACTGAAGATATAGATTCGTTATCAATTTGTGTGTGTGTGTGCATCGTCTATGGAAATACGAAGTCATGCTTGGTAATGAGTTAAGTAAGAGTATGTATAATCAGCTATTATCATGCCTTAAATCTTTGAGGAGTTGCATCCACATTCGAAGAGCTGAGCGAGAAAATGCATGTTTGCTTGTTTTAACTTGAGCAACTATTAGCTAGGTGGTTCCAAGCACGGTGAATAGCAAAAATCTTAGAACCAACTCCCAATACTTGTCTTTTATATCTTGTTCATTCTAATGAAAGGATAATTTCTCGCTGTCAGTTGTTATTGTCATCTATCCATTTTCTTTCTATTTGACAGTGCAATGTAATGCAGAATATGCATAGGTGTAGATGATATTAGCATATAAAACCTTTACATCAAATTAATTTTCTTTATACATTACCATAGAAGTAATAATTTCCCGTTGTGTGAAAAGCTTTTGTTCATTTGGAATTAGAGTAGTTTACAGAAAGAAGAACAATGTAGAAAATAGCATGAAGTCGTATATTTCATCTCTTTATGCCAGTAGATATTCAGCAATTCCTGAATATCTATATCGTGGCTGAACCTAACATACGCTGAAAAAATACATGTCCAATGGTTATGATAACATGGGAAATCTGAGGTCAAAACAAGGCTGCCAAGCTGACACCTTTCTCAGGATGGAGGCAAAGCAAGCTGTAATCGGCAATAGAGGCTGCTACATTGGGGGTGTGGAAAGTAACTACTCCAACAGGGATATATTTGGAGAGCTGGGCATCTCCCAGATGATGGTATACAGGCAGATAAGGTAGGAAGAGGAGGGCACCCATAATGACAAAAATACACTGGAAAAACACGGAAAGCTCCATTGCTGAAGGGGATTAAAGGTGTAAATGGTAGCCCTTTTCAATATTTCACAAATCAATTTATTTCAATTTACTATATAGATATTTGTTCATGCATAACAGTGTCCTACACATGATATTTCATGTTCAGATTCTATATCATTTACATTTCACATATGACAGACAAATTATCTATAAAACGCAGGGAATGGCCTCATGACCTGCGATATTTGGGGGTGGATCTCCCTACATGATGTTGGCGAAACGGGGAAAAACCTATTAGACAAATATATCGAATTAGAAAAAAAATCCTCCCATTAGCACACTGTTATGCCTTGGCCCGTCCCAGAAACAATGAGGATAACTGCCCTATACTCACACCCAGGGCAGTTACGAAGTAGTTCCCTGCCTAACACCACGTGGAGGTCCTTCAATGGCCAGCAAGGGATATGGCTCAAACCCCACGAAAAATGTTTGGCTGAATATTGTCAATGTTTGAGAAACGGCTAATGAAACAACCTCGAACCAGCTGATAAAAATCGAAACGTTACATGTGAACAAGTCACTTCTGTCTCAGGGATCAGACACCATTTGAATAACAATACATATTTCCTAATATAAACATTACTATTTGTCTTCCTTTTCTACAGTTATTACCGTTTTCCTTTAAAAAAATCAAACTATAGTAAAAGTATCTCCAAAATTAATAAACATCGCCAAATAGTCAATTTACTGAAGCCCCCATTATCTATGAAAAAATTAAATTAAAAATATTTACATATTTATGTGTGCGTGCGCGTGCGTGCGTGCGTGCGTGCGTGCGTGCGTGTGTGCGTGTGTGCGTGTGCGTGTGTGTGTGTGTGTGTGTGTGTGTGTGTGTGTGTGTGTGTGTGTGTGTATGTGTATGTATGTGTGTGTGTTTCTTAGTTATCAACTACATGATATGGCATTTTGCGTGAGAAGGGGGTTTAAAAATGTATATGAAATATTAAACAAAAGATTCTAACTAAAGCGTTAAAAACTGTGTAGAACTGCAATTCTTTCACACAATGCATACACACATTGTTGAGGCCTGATTAACCCGACCACAGTTTTGCGTTCAGTTGATATTCTAAAATGATTGCAATTTTCTGTTTATTGAATCCGTGTTTAGATCTGATTTATTAGTTCACACTGAAAATTATATATAAGAACTTTGATTTTATTTTGTGATAAAGGACAAGAATGCCATTTTTTTCTACACAGGCATATACTGTAAGCAAGCGTGTATTGACAAAAAGAAAAAAAAAAATGCATAAACAACAAATAAAAGTAAAGAACAAGATTAATGGACATTAATCCAAATGAAAAAGATTTTTTTTGGTCAAAATATCAGATATACACCTCATGTAAAAGAGAGTCAGTTGTATGACTTTTGCTATTCACCCTCTTTGAAACCACCTAGCTTGTAGTGCTCAAGTTGAAACAAGTAAACATATATTTTCTTGCTCAACTGTTCGAATGTGGATGCGCCTCCTTCTAAAAACGCTAAGACTTACGGAATAATTACAGAAAAACTACGATCAGATTTTAGCACAAGCTAAGAGACATTCAGAATAACCGAAACGAATTGAACATACTATTTCAAAAATCATCACTAAGCATTGACTTCGTATTTCCAGGGACGCAACACACACACACACACACACACACACACACACACACACACACACACACACCACACACACACACACACACACACCACACACACACACACACACACACACAAAATTATGAAGTATCTATGCATTCTATAAAGAAAAATATAATGTAGCATGATTTCTGTTTATTCAAAATAAGTGTTTGGTTCTGGCAAATAGGAAAAATGTATATCATTTTATTAGACTGATTATGGTGCAGCTACGGGAAGTATTTACAAAGATCTTTTGTACATTTTTAATTTGATCTTGCTGCTATACAGAGATGTTTAAAGCATGAAGTCGAAATCTTTGATACTTCTTGTGTTGGAAGAACGGGGAAATGCCACCTCCACACCATAGGTGTTGCCATTTTGATAAACAAACAATTAGAGGATATTGTATTTGAGAAATATCCAGCTACAAAATCAATGATTACTAGTATTGCATGTTTTGTGATCACATATTTGAAGAAAATGGAAGCTGAAATGGCTTACTTAATTAAAAAAAAAAAAATTATCATTCATTCGACACACTCTTTGTTACAAACTACCTAGGGTTTTAGCGTCATTCACAAAAATATTATTTACGCCATGTTTACTTCAATTGGTTGCCAGACAATGAGCCACAGCAAGCGTTTAATACTCGTTTGGTAGTTTTCCTCATCCATGTACGTATACTATACACTAGCTAACTCAATTTGACCCCTTACCCCCTTCCCCCCATCAGGGACGGTCCCCTAAGTGGATTCCCTTTCCATTTCTCAAAAGACCATGCATGTCTGATCCTTGGCTTTATGGTTTCATGTTATCACCTTAGCATAACCTGTCAGTCACAAAATCTAAAGTCATATACTCAAGTATAATACTGGCAAATTTTATACGATACCATGAACCTGGTTAACATATTGTGGGCAAGTGGATGAGATCCTCATCCCTATGCCACCCCATGCAGACCCTTATTACCTACTAGCCCTCCTACCTCCTGTAACCTATCAGGCAGAAAGTGTGAGGGGTAGGAAAGGGAAGAGGTTCAGAAATTTTAGATCTTGACAGTATATACTATATCTCTTACCATAAAGAGGTTAACTTTGAGCTGAAAATCAAATGTTTGTTTGATTTGTGTCAGGTGCAAAAAAGATTGAGAAAGAAACATTTTGTCACTTTAAATACAAATTACAAATACCCCTGTTTGATATCTAATTCTGGGGGTATAATTTTGATTCTTTATATTCTGATATATGATTGAATGGTACCTTAAAGTATAGGAACAAAAACGAGGTTACATCATTAATTCTTACTCTTCATAGAAATAAACATATAAAATGTGCATTATGTTTCAGGTTCTTGTGTCCAGGATTCTAGGGGTCAATGAAGAGACAGGTGACAAGATGGAACTGTACAAATGTTTTATGTGCAGTGTTGCATTTCCATCCATTTCAAGACTACAAGCTCATCTATTTCAGCATAAGCAACAGTTTGTCTGTTGCAAGTGTAGTTTTTCATGTGATTCAAGAGTCCAATTTTCTCACCATGTACAGCATGAACATCTTTCTCCACCTATGCAGTCTAACAGGTATCTTTTAAGTTAGGTGTTGAATGAATTTTATTATTGTATCTAAAGAGACAGTTGAATTTAGTGATGTATTTAAGCCTACTTTTGAGGGTTTATTTCTCCTCAGCAAATGCAACCAGGGTCAAACAAATGCAGAATTGTTTAGTGTGCACATCTTTGAGTAGGCTCTACTGCTCATGACACAAAAAAGGTTATTCTGGCACAAGGGGTGGTATGGATGGTTAACAGCATTATTAAAAAAAAAAAAAAAAAAAAAAAAATGCCTGAAAACTCATGTAGAGGAAGTCAGGTGAGGTCTGTACCCTTGAATGATATTGGAGAATCCCAAAAGCACTAAACTAAACAAGTTTGTAACATGAGAAATGCTGTGATATTTTTTTACTTGTTGTGCCAGTTTTGGGTGACTGTAGTAATCCCTGGGTCATGCTTTAGGTTGGGAATACACAGATGTTTAGAGACATATAATTTTTTTTTTTTTCTTCTCTGAGGAATTATCTGTCCCTCACTTGTCACAGGCTGACACCCCCTTCTTACTATTGCCCATTATAGCATTTTTTTTCTGGTGAAGCTGAGGATTTTGAAGTCCCTTCCAAACCTCAGCTTCAGTCCTCCCCCATTTGTACACTCCCATGTGTATCACCATCAAGGCTGATGGAAGATTTTGCTGCTTCTGTACCAATCCATTAACACTCGGTTAAAAATTTGATAGTGGCCATTAACATAGGGTTGTTGGCGTGATTGAGTTTCTCCTGTTTGCGCTCGGTATGTTTGGTAGTTTGCAGGCAACATTAGGCACCTAAAAGCTTATATTTGATATCAGTTTGAGAAAAAAGATGGAGAAAAACTCCAATGGATGAGCTGATGGTGGGGGAATGGTTTTGATGCAATACCACCTGCGACTTAGTCCACAACAGCCATGGTGTGTATGTACATGCCATCTGGTGGCAAGGGGTTAAAAGGAGAAGGAAAATTTTGATATGTATGTGACTATTTATATAATTGTGATGTGCATGCACTTTTTGAAACAGCAATACGAATATGAAAATGTAATTGCTAGGTGTATTTTTAGATCATATTCCTGTATTATTTTTTTTCCCTAAAAAAAAAAAAAAAAAAAGTCATCTAATATTTCTCATCTTGCAACCATACAATTATATTGAAAGATATATAGCAGTGGATGCATATTATATGCATTTCAATATCTGCATTTTTGATAAATATATGGACTTGGTATTAGTTGGAAATCAATGTAAGGAATGTCATGTCTATGTTCAGTTTATTTTTATCTGGGTGAATGAAACTTGAAACATAGCTTCCAAGGACTTTTTTTTATCTTTTTTGTTAGTTGTAAAGGATGATTAATCATAAATAGATCAGTAGATAAAAGTAATTGACAGTCCCCTAAATAATCAAATATGGTCTGTTGTAAGCCAATGTACAGAAGGGTATAGATTAAAGGTCAACAGCATAGCCAGCATGTTCTCTTGCAGGTGTTCTCTGCACCTGTTAACACCATTAAGTGAGGTTGCCAAGAACTGTTATTGCTGTACTGCAGCTGGCAGTCAGGATGTTTATTATGGTGTCAAATGAAAATATGTTAAAACTTAATTAGCCATGTCAAGGAGAAAAAATGTTGTTTATGGGACTATGGACTATGCATGGAACTATAGTGACTATGCCTGGGAGCTCTTATTTGTTCCCAACTATACATAAAAATGAAAGATCTGCTTTACCTGCAACTGATTTTTGTTTCCTTCAGGGATAAGGAAGATGCAAGATGTGATATGAGTGATGATTCCTGTAGTGCAGAGAATACAGTCACAGTAGCTGCACTTTTATCTGCTCTTCGGGAGAAGGCTCAAGAAAACAGACCCGTTACTCTTGCTCAGAAAGAAACCTTTGAGGAAGAGGAAGAGAATGTTAGTGAGGACTCTTACCCAGTTTCCCCATCATCTGAGTCACAAGAAGCAGGAGAAATACAAGAAGGAAGTACAGGAGAGGATCTCTTCAAGATGTACACGTGTAGATTTTGTGGAAAAAAATTTGACCGTGCCTTTTCATGTAATCGACATGAACGTGTGCACACTGGATACAAACCATGTTTTTGCCGAGTGTGTGGACGAGGTTTCTCAGAGCCAAGAAATTTGAGGCATCATGTAATCAGATTTCATAGTGATGGATCTCTCCGTCACCTTATTAAAAGAGATAGACGTAAAAAAGGGGAGGAAGATTCCCCTATTCCTTCCATATCGCCTGTACCTGTGAAGTATCCTGAAAATAGGTTGAATAATGTTTTAAAAGAGACTGCAAATAAACTTATATCTACTTCCAATATTGATATCACAGACTACTCAGGAAAGCCCACTGGATTGGAGGCTTCACTAGCTTCAAAAAATGTGAATAGGTGTGAGGATATAAATAAAGACCTTAAAAGATCATTAACTCCACCTCTGATAGAGACCATGAAAGAGCAGACAAATTCCGATGTGTCTGCTGCAGTCACAACCTATACCACAAATCTCACAAAAATAATTGCTGCATCTTTAGACAGTAAGTTAATTTTATTTCTACCTTTGTTTCCACCTGAAAATTTACATGCCATTTAGCCTTGAAATAAATGTTATGTTACAGTCTCATGCTTTTGATTTGTCTCATTACAGATACTTCACGCATTAGTAGAAGACATACATTATTTACCGACGCATACAGAGATGAATTAGAGCCTGGAGAAATCAGGTTAGATAAGCGTTCGAAAATTATTGATGATGGAGAAAGTGGACGACGATTAGTCATAACAGATGACCAAGCAGAAGAAGGGCTGGATCACTCCCCTCATTTCTCTAACTATGCTCCAAGGTGAGACACACACTCCCTCTCATTCTTTTCTCTCTCCTCTCTCTCCTCTCTCCTCTCTCCCTCTCTCTTTTTCTCTCTTTCTCTTCTCTCTCTTCTCTCTCTCTCTCTTCTCTTTCTCTCTTTCTCTCTCTCTCTCTTTCTTCTCTCTTTTCTCTCTCTTTCTCTCTCTTCTCTCTCTTTCTCTCTCTCTCTCTCTTCTCCTCTCTCTCTCTCTCTCTCTCTCTCTCTCTCTCTCTCTCTCTCTCTCTCTCTCTCTCTCTCTCTCTCTCTCTCTCTCTCTCTCTTCTCTCTCTCTCTCTCTCTCTCTCTCTCTCTCTCTCTCTCTCTCTCTCTCTGTCTCTCTTCTCTCTTTGTCTCTCTCTCTCTCTCCTTCTCTCTGTCTCTCTCTCTCTCTCTCTCTCTCTCTCTCTCTCTTCTCTCTCTCTCTCTCTCGTCTCTCTCCTCTCTCTCTCTCTCTCTCTCTCTCTCTCTCTCTCTCTCTCTCTCTCCTCTCTCTCTCTCTCTCTTCTCTCTCTCTCTTCTCTCTCTTCTCTCTCTGTCTCTTCTCTCTCTCTTTCTCTCTCTCTCTCTCTCTCGTCTCTCTCTCTCTTTTGTCTCTCTCTCTCTCTCTCTCTCTCTCTCTCTCTCTCTCTCTCTTTGTCTCTTGTCTTTCTCTCTTTGTCTCTCTCTCTCTCTCTCTTTATATATTCTTCCTCTCCGTACCTTCCTTTGTTCTCTCTCCTCTTCTCTCCTGTCATCTCTCTCTCATTTCTCATCTCTCTGAGGTAACTCTCTCACACGTCTGCTCGTCTCTCATCGCCTTCGATATCTCACTTCTCGTCTCTTCTCT